TATGATTGCATTTACTTAATGACTGCTCAAAAAAGGTCATAAAATCAGGTCAGTCATGTGGGTGACCTGATATATGACCATCACAATTTACAACCATGATGGGGAGGCCCTATTATGGTCATAAACTGAGGACTACCTCTATTCCTTTTACACAGTTTCTTGTCTTTTCCCTTTGAAATACAGACTCTTAAAACTGAATGCCATCTTAGAGGCCAAGCTTGACATAGGACATCTTTGCACTGAGACATCCAGGGAGGGAGAATATACATACAGAGAGAGAGAGAGAGAGAGAGAAAGAGAGAGAGAGAGAGAGAGAGAGAGAGAGAGAGAGAGAGGGAGGGAGGGAGAGAGAGAGGGATACAGACAGAGAGACAGACAGAGACAGAGAGATTAGATAATTAAGCATCTTGCCAAACTACACAGAACTCTTATTACGGTGGCTATATTGCTTATGTTTAATAAAAATGTCTGTTCACTGAAAATTACTAAGAGAATATATTCACAGGGTGACATGCTAATAAAAAAGGCTTTACAGTGTTGACATTACACTTGTCAATTACTACTCCTGCTCCACAGTAATTTCCCAGTCTCCAAATATGCTTTACCTATTGCATACCACGGGGATCTAAGTCACTTTGACATGTCTTTGCAAAGCATCCTCAACAATGTTCATGTTTCCTAAATACTCTTCCAGGTTCCAGCATCCCTGATAGAAAACGTGTTGCTATTGCTACATTTTCATTTCTTCAAAAATAAAAAGCAGTGGTTTGGTTAGGCAATCTGCTTCTCTCTCAGTAGTATGCCTGTCCCTGTTTTCAAGTGCATGCATAAATTGTGCAGTTGCCTTTTATGGTGATATTCTTACTGTGAAAGGATTTTAAATCAGTGTTTCACCTAGGTGCCAGCCGGCTAGACAGAAAATCATGGGCACAAAGATCATAGCCTGTAAAGACTATTATCTTTATAAGCAGATATGTATTAATATTCACATAAAAGTATCATCTTTGATTTAAACAAGAATCCTCACACGCAAATGCTTTTTCCTGCAGACAATTACCCTGCAGGAATCAATATTTTATGGAGGAGAGGGGGCATCACCCACGTGGCAACTGGTTCACCATTATAGGCATTTGTAGTATCTCACGGTCATGTGACCGCAATTTTTTGACTTTTTTAAAATCATTTTCCAGTGTTTACTTCTGATTTCCAGCAACAAACGCCCATTGGGTAAAATGTATTTGCTTAACAACCACCACTAAAAATCATAAAATCAGATCTTATCACACGGTGATCCAATTAATAACCACAACCATTTACAGTCATAATTTCAGACGCAGTTACAGTCGTAAGTTGAGAACTATGGTATCTAGATTTTATAAAGGAGCTCAAGGCAGCATACATTGCCCTCCTATTTTTTGCTAAATAACTACTGAGAGAATGACCAGCCCAAAATATCCAGTAAGCTTCCATAAAAGGTGGAGTTAAACCTGGGTCTCCTTGGTGCAGTCTAGTTAACAATTATCATGAGGGCAGGAGAGTCCGGTTGTCAAAACCATGGATCAAAGCCCTGCGTCTTTTTTACATGCATCACAGTGCAAATAAAAAAGATACAGACCAGTCCATCTGGGCCATCATGACCATCTACATAAGTGGGCCCCAACCTTTTGGGCACCAAGGACCAGTTCTATGGAGAGAGGTTTTTCCATGGACCAGAAGGGGTGTGGTTTTGTGTGCTTTCTGCACCCCACGGATGGGGCTTCGCTTGTTTGCAGGGCCCGGTTTATGGCATGCTGCAGATCATTGCTGGTCCACAGACCAGGGGTTAGGGACCCCCTGATCTAGATCAATGTTTCCCAACCTTAGCCATTTTAAGAGGTTTGGACTTCGATTCCCAGAATACCCCAGTCAGCATTGCTGGGAGTTGAAGTCCACACATCTTAAAATGGCAAAGTTGGGACCACCGATGTGGACTCTTTCCTCCCCACAATGATGCCCATAGGTGAGGCTAAAACCCATAATCATGTGAGTTTATTTCAAGACAGGTAGTCCTTGAATTACAACAGTCCGTTCAGTGACCATTCAAAGTTACAACAGCACTGAAATAGTAACTTATGACTGTTTTTCACACTTACAGCCGTTACAGCATCACCATGATCATATGATCAAAATTCAAATGCTTGGCAACTGGTTCACATTTATGACGATTGCTGTGTCCCAGGGTCATGTGATCAACTTTTGTGACCTGACAATCAAAGTCAATGGGGAAGCCAGATTCATTTAACAACTGGGTTACTAACTTAACAATTGCAATGATTCACTTCACAACTGTGACAAGGAAAGTCGTAAAATGGGGCAAAACTAACTTAACAAATGTCTCATTTAGCAACATAAATGTTGGGCTCAACTGTGGTCGAGGATTACCTGTGTTGAACTTTTAATCTCTCTTTCTTCACTCACAGCCTACAGGAGTATGGATAGCTATCCCTTTAATAGGATTTTTGGTTTATTGATGTCGACAGTCGATTCTGTTGCCAGCATTAGTGTACCTGTAGCGTTTTATACCCCATAAAATGAATAAAATGATACAGTGGAAACGAATTCCTCTGCTTTGAAAGTTCCTCATAAAAGCCTCGCATCACATAACTAAAGGCATGTTTGCTTTTCTTAAGTTCAACAGCCAGTTTACCTGTGTGAGCAATGCCATTAAAGTGTCATTTTGTTTGTCAGTGAGGGCCATCAGGTAAATTATTCAACAAGTATGCATTAATAACTCAGAGATAAATGAAGCAATATTGGAAAGGCACTTAAAATTTCACACTAGAAATACTAAAAATTTTGCACACGTAGGCTTTGCTGAAATATATAGCAAACAGACAGTTCACATTTCTACAATACAGTAATAAAGCATTTAATGTGAAACCTAAAATTGACCATTACTGCTTTCTCTGCTAACGTTTGTCCCCCCCCCCGGCCCCCTCCCCGCCTCCTTCTTTAAGAAGGAGCTTTTGCTGGAATAGCCACTTCTACTTTGGAAATCATTAACCAGATATTATTCTGCTCCTTCTCAAAAGGAGCCTTCCACATTATTTCCATACAGTCGGGATAACAAAAGACACCAGGGAGCTTAAAAAAAGAATAAACACCCAAAGAATGCCTACAATCAATATATGTATATACAAATCTCATTAAGGGCTTACTGATTTTCAGAGAGTCTGGCACTCCAAAGGCCATAATCCACAAACACCTAGGAAACTCAAGGCCAGGCCATACTGAGAAGATGGAAAACACCAGGCCAAGAGTGCCACATTAATCCCATTGACAATCAATACTTAGAAATCAAGGCATCCCTGTCGGAAACAGTCCTCAAATCATGCATGGAGCACCTGCTCCAGTCTCCAAACACAGTTCCTCAGATTATCACAGGGATGGGAACATGTGTGCTTTTGGTGAAAATATTTTTTTTCCTCATAAAAGGAAATGCATAGAGTTTCATCCAAAAGCACTGGGCTATGGCTCTAAGCAAACTGATTTCAGTCCTGAATTTAGAGGCCTTGGCTTCCATCTGAAAACTCTTTTCTCAAAGATTTCTGCCTGCAGGGTTTTTTTCATCTCAGGAACTGAAGCCCGTCTGACCTTATCTTATAGCTGGCTGAACATTTACTGTTGAATCCCAGCAGCTCAATGAACCAGCAAATAAGTGGATTAAAAAGGGATACCATCTTGACTTTACGCCCGCCCTGCAAGAAAAAAACCCGAACAAATAAGAAGATAAGGAAAATATCTTGGGTAATTGCTTGTGGCCCAACGGCCAGAGGGCAAATGGAAAGGGCAGGAAAGTCTCAATATGTTCCTTTGCTCAGTAACCGATTTTCAGGTTTTATTACCAATGATAAATACGGTTTGGTTTAACTTGTCCCAAACTGGGTTCCTCTACAAGCATTGGATGGCAACTCCCAGAGTTCCCAATTATGTGAGGTTCAAGGCCCAGGGTTTGAAAGATAATAAACTGGGAAGTACCATTTTTAAGAGAGCCAGCTTTATGTAATGCAACAGTCCCCAATCTTTTTGGCACTGGGGATCCATTTTGTGGAAGACAATTTTTCCATGGAATGGCGGTCACTAGCCCGCCATTCACCTCCAGCTATGCAGCCCGATTCCTAACAGGCCACTGACCGGTACTGGTCCATGGCTCAGGGATTGGGGACCCATGGTGTACTAAGTTTTTTTTTTTGCTTTAATTTATATGCCGCCCTTCTCCCGAGACTCAGGCGGCTTACAATGCATTAAGAAATAGTTGAGATATCAGGCTAGAAATTGGGAGACCCTGAGTTCTAGTCCAGCCTTAGGCACAAAGCCAATGGAGTGACCTTAAGCCACTCACCCTCTCTCGGCTCTAGAAAGGAGGAACGGGCAAATTACTTCTCAAATCTTTCCAAGAAAGCTGAAACAGCTTGTCTAGGCCGTTACAGAAGTAAAAATAAACTGACTCAAAGCCACGTGCGTACATAAGCACAGGCAGACACACAAACACATGGCTGCTTTACAATAACTAATTTCAAATTGGGGTATTTCATCTAATCCATTTTAAAACAGAATTGCTTTCCATCCTGCCAAACTTCTAAAATTCTGCAAATGATTTCCTTCCCACTAAAATTCACAGGGTTGAAGGTACAGCACTGTATATAGCAACGGCCACAGCAGGAAGAAAACATCAGAAATTGCACACACAAAAAAAGTATGGAGGCAATCAGAAACTTATGCAATACACAGTATATGGAACGTGTGCAGCGAATAAACACAAGGCTCCCGGTGATTCTGCACAACTTTTAAGCAGCACAACTAGGCAAATGGTGGTGCCTACTACACTCCTTTACAGGGCAAATACAGGGAGTATTACATTAAAAACAATATGAAGAATTCTACATTGGTTGAGCCCAAAAGCAGAAACGCCCCCACTGGATTTTTCCATAAAAATGGAGAACGATTGGGGACTGTCTTACCATGGTTGTGATTTGAAGTTAATAAGTTTCTTCTGTAGTATTCCTCTGTTTAGAATTGCAGTTTTTGTTGTTAGAATTACAGAGCAATTACACGCATGCTTATGCAAAGTCTCACTGTTTATCTCGCCAATATGAAATCAGTATATATAGAGAAATCAATACTTTTCCATGGTCTGCCCCAGTAATAACGTTGGCTGGAAATCAAGGGATTGCCCATTAGGGAAATCCAGCAAGTTACAGAAGGCTAATGTACTGGATTGCAGCCCCAGGAGTAGGTCTACATCTGGAGTGAGCAACTATTGCCCTTCTACGGAGTATGGCTGCGGACAATGGTTTGCAGAGGAATTCTGGGACTTGAAGTCCACAGATCCTAAAGGGGTCAGAATTGCCCACCCCTGGTCCAGATAAAAAACAGCAAAGGAGTTCTTGTGACAGCAAGGTTCAAGAACAGGATCTGCTGCAACACAAACTAAAGCTGTCCCAGTGAAAGGGGGGGGGGGGTGCAACCATCTGCCAGGACAAGTAGAAACACAACCTGCATACAGTATGCAGAAGCAGACAATGCAATTTGATAGCAAGGGTGAGGGGGGGAAAAAAAACCACCCCAGAGCAGGCAGTCATTGTCTTCAGAAACAGGAGCATTTGTGGCTGCCCGTTTTAGAAGTAAGGAGCAAACTCAACGAGAAAGTTACTGGAGGAGTAAAGGAGTTCAAAACTTGAGTAGAACTTGCAGCGTAATATTCCAGAGTCTTGATTTAAGTTCCTTGTTTGCATCTATGAGGAAAATTGCGTACCGTATAAGAGCCTCAGGCTAAGATTTGGGTTCTTAGAAAGATTTGGGTCCTTAAATCAAACTTTCTTTGACTGGTTTCAGGCATTGTTCCTTTTCTTTTTTCTTTTCTTTTCCTTTCCTTTTTTCTTTTTGCTACTAGCTATTTATCCTATTAGAGCACGTGGCCTCGGGACTCTCCATGAGATGCCTTAAGATGCACAATTGCACGACAGAAAAGAGCAGCCTCCACCCACTCCCAGCGCAAGAGAGCAAAACTAAAGGGTGGGGGGGTTGGAGATTCCCATCTCCACAGCTGCTGGTCACAAAACAGGTAGCTCGGCGCATGCTCGGGTTACCGGGTTTTGGGGATTTTTTTTGTTTTTATTTTTTTGATCTGTCAATCACCCCCCCTCACCCCGCCGCCTCCGAAGTCCAGACTTGGGCGGAGCTGCCGGCAGCTTTGCGGGCCGGCTCTAAAGAGGGGGGCCGCTTTATAAGGGACCGGGTAGCTCCGGGACGAGAACTTTTTGGCTGTCGGTGGCGTCGTGGCTGCTGGCGAGGTGCAGAAGCGGAGCCTGCTGCCGGGGAGCGCTCGAGCAATGGATCCGAACATGGATGTAAGGAGGCGCCTGACGTTTGCCCAGGGAGCGATGGATGGAGGGATGGGATGGAGGGATGGAGCGCCTGGTTAGAGGTTCCTAAATATCGGGAAATATCCTAAATGCTCTACGCGATCTCGCAAAGCTCTTTGGGGAAAGCGGGACAAGGACACGCGCAACTGTGGGGTTTTTTTATCTTCTTTAGATTACAAGACGTGTAGCGGCTCTCTTTTCCGATCAGATGAGAGTTCCCGGCTGACGTTTACTAGATCTATCTAATCGGAGACATCCGCAAAATAATAATAATAATAATCTACTTTTGTTCCAAGCGGGGTGAATCTTTGCAGCTGAGCCGACTCGCAGAAGTGCCGTTTTAAAAAGCGGACCGGGCGGTAGATCCGAATTGCACCTTGTAGTAAGCTCTCTCCAATAGGTCGTGCAAGAGGACCCCTCTCCCCTTGCTTTGGAAGGGGGGGGAGAGGGGATTTCTTGCCCCGAACCCACCAAACGTTGCGCTCTCTCAACTTGTGTTAGAGCGGCTTTGCAGGCTCGTCGCGGAGAGGAGCGCCTTTGAAAGCAGCGCGCAAGGCTGCGTAAAAGTGCGTGGGGTCGGGCGGGGGACCTGCGAGGGACGGTTCTGGGTTGCAGACGGAGGAACAGCTTCGATTTTGCTTTCGTTGATCTCTCACAACCCCCCCCCCCCCCAAAAAAAAATCCCTGGGATATTTTAAAAAAAAATTTAAAAAAAACCTCGCCGGGCTTGGAACACGGTGAGAGAAACTTGGCGGAATTTTTTGGCTGCCTTAGAAAGCGCGATTGACTAATACCAAAAGGAAACCTTGAATGAGAAAAAGTTTTAAGACGTTGGGTCCTGCCGTTTTCGAGCAGTGCTTGACTCATGCGGTTTCTTGTTTTTGTCATTAAGTAGAGCTCAGAACGTGTTGGGTTTTTTTAAAAGAGTCTCTGTACAAGGCAAATTAGGGTGGAATTTTTTTTTCCTCCTAGAGTTTCTAGAGTGAAAGAGGTGGGGGAAGTGTTTGGTCTATGACCAAAGTAAAAACCAAAAAAGATAATGCTTGGTCTATCAGCAAAGTATATAGGACATCAAGACCACCGAAATGTTTAAGTAGCATGGATATTGGCATATTTTTCACCAACTTGTGGGAAGCATGAGAATCACAGCTAAGGCTCTTTCCATAAAGTGGAGATAAGCCCTGGGTTCAGGAAAACTTTGTGAGAACTCTTAGAAACCCCTGCATAGGTTTCGTGCCCTTTTAATTCCTACTTGAATGCGTGGGAATGTGGAAGCTGGCCCCGTTTCAGCTGAGAAAAGGATCGCTTTTGTACCCTGGATGGGAGAATCCTCCACGGAGCCAGAAGGCGTCCGGCCTGAATAGAGACAGTCTCTGTTTTGAAAGTGTTGTCGAGCCCCTTTGTAGAAGCGCCTCACAGCAAAGAAAGGACTGTCTCTCTGCATGGCAAGAGGGAGGAGGAGGAGGACTGAAGGAGGCGGTGGCCAGGTGACTACTCCCTTACACGCCTTTCAAACGGCTGGTGGTTTCCTGAGGTTGCACTTCTCTTTTTTTTTCCCCATCTGTTGCCTTGCTAAATTGAAACTGCTCCCTCCTTTATGTTCTGACGGGTTAGGATTAGACAAAAAGATCTGAGAAAGAGCTTGCTGGCGGGAGAATTTGAATGAGCAAACTTGGGCTTTTTGCAAAGCTCTTGCCGCACCCTGTTTTTGTTGGTTTGCCATTTTTAAATTTACAGAATCATTTATGCTGCTGATGGACCACGTCTTATAAGCTGCTCAGAATCACCTGGAACTATAAAATGGGCAGCATATAAATTTAATAAATAAAGTCTCACAGTTGTTTTGGTTTGGCATATTATTCAAGGCTGACAAAAGAGTTCCAATGAACTCTAAGGCTTGCTTACTTCACCCCTCACTTTGTGTTTGGATTTATTTATTTTTTTTATGAACCAACCTCTTTGCCTTGGGAGTCAGCCTGGTCAAGAAATCCTAGCACATTATTTGCCTCCAAGGAGGGGAAAATATGGAACAAGTGATTCTTTATTGTTCAGGCCCTCAGATCTAAGAAAATATTTTCACTATCAGGCACTTGACGTCTGATTTAACTGAAAATAATTCTACTAAGCAATATCCTCCCAGGATCTTCTTTAACAGGATTGTTGAAATGAAAGGATTAGATTTTTAACATCTGCTTTATACTTTAGGACCCCATTATACAAGTAGTCCTTGTTTAGCAGCTGCCTCATTTGGTGACCATTTGCAGATGTGACAGTGATTTTAAAAAGTGGCTTTATGACCAGTCCTGTCATTTATGAGCTTTGGAGTCTATAAAGCAAAGTGGCAAGCTAATTTAGCAACCACTTTGCTTAACAGCAGAATTGCTGGTCTCAGTTATGATCACTAAAGGAGGACTAGCTGTATTGGGGTAGAGACTACTTCAGTTTCTTTCTAATGGGTTTCCTTTGAACCAATGAGAAGGTAATTCTTTTCTCTGACAATACAGGAGCTTGCAGGTTGGCTGTTTACAAAACTGCCTCTTGAATCCTTATTAGCTTGTAAATCAACCATTGCAGTCATGATCTTCCATTCTTACTTTGATTCTTACTTCATAAGAATACAATAAATATAGTAGAGGTGTGTACAAATTGATAAAATATGTTTTGTTTTGTGTATAGAAGAAATACATTTTGGTTTGCCACTTCAACCCCTATTTTGGCCAGACCAGGCTAAAGTAAAACCTAGTACAATTTAGCTGTTCCAGGTTCTGTCCAAGAAAAAATGGAAATGGCTTATGGGTAAACTGAGCCAGTTTAGCTTAGTGGTTTAAGCACCAGGATAGAAAACCAGGAGACTCTGAGTTCTAGTCCCACCTTAGGCAACAAGGCAGCTGAGTGACTTTGGCCCAGTCATTCTCTCTCAGTCCAAATCACCTACTAGGGTTGGTGTGGGGAAAATGGGAGGAGGAAGGTTTGTTGGATATTTTACAAATAACTCAATAGCTTGAGTTATTTGTAAAACAATAATAAAGGTGGGATACAAACAAACAAACAAAATAGGGCGCCTCTACTCTCTTTTTCTTTCTCAGAATGGCCTGTGCTGCAGCCCACTTGCTAATCTTTTCAGGATGTTATCTCCTACTTCAAGTCCTTCGTCTACCTTTCTTTCTGATCTTCCCAGCATCATCCTCCTTCTTAACTTCCACTTAGCTGATCCTAGTTTTGTATTTTCTCCCCCTACTGTCTCCCATCTAGAACATTTGTTCTGAGATGAACCACCAACCGTGTTTTGGTTTTAGCATGAACCACCCAATAGTGCTGCTTCTCCACATGGAATTTTTTTTTTTTTTAATTTGATTTATATGCCGTCCTTCTCCGGAGACTCAGGGCGGCTTACAATGCGTTAAGCAATTGTAATTGTCTCTGCACGAAGCATTTTATTTGTTGTTTGTTTTGCATTATTTTTTATTAGATTTTATCCCACCTTTACAGGTAGTCCTTGACTTACAACACTTCGTTTAGTGACCGTTTGAAAAAAGTGACTTAAAACCGTTTTTCACACTTATGACAGTTGCAGCCATCCCAATGATCATATGATCAGAATTCAAATGCTTGGCAACTGACTCATATTTATGATGGTTGCAGTGTCCCGGGGACATATGATCCCTTTTTGTGACCTGACAAGCAAAGTCAGTGGGGAAGCCAGATTCACTTACTAACATAACAACTACAGTGATTCACTTAACAACTGTGGCAAGAAAGGTCATAAAATGGGGAAAAACTCACTTAACAAATGTCTCGCTTAGCAACAGAAATTTTGGACTCAATTGTGGTCGTAAGTCAAGGACACTTGTATTATTTTATGAATACCTCAAGGCGGTAAACATTCCTAATATTCCCTTCTATTTTCCCCACAACGACCTACATGTTTAACAGAATGATTTTCAAATCTGAAACCACATCTAGAGGCATCCATTGTATAGGGTTTTTTTTATAAATTCCTGCAAAGATCCATTTTCTAATCATCAAATTTGAATAGAAAAATGTAGCGCATCTAGGATTAGGCGTTCAGATAATTCCTTGAAGCAATCATTGGAAAGCAGTGATTGACCTGGTCATATACGTTCAGTTGGAACTAAAATATATATCTGTACAGTTGTTGCCCTTTCATTGAATGTGGTTTGTGTGTGTTTTCTTATGTTTGAAAAGTCCTTCAGAGAGTTGAGATATGTATGTTGAAATGAATGTGTTGAAAATGTGACATTTCTGATCATCTCTTTGCTTCTGCATCTGATCATCGCCAGCCATTAACAGCTCTAATTGTTGTATTAGAGCAGAGGTCTTCACACTTGGCAACTTGTAAGACTTGTGGACCTCAACTTCCAGAATTCCCCAGCCAGTATAGCTCTGCTGGTTGGGGAATTCTGGGAGCTGAAGCCCACATATCTTAAAAGTTACCAAGTTTGACAATCCCTGCATTAAGAGGCAAATATTTTAAAGTTGAATACTGAAGCATGATTCAGTGTTGATTCTTTGCTTGCTGCTGAATGGGTCTTTTAAGATTTGCCTGCCTTTGTTTCCCACTTTCTAATTTTTGCTTCCTTTTGTCATCTACAGATGTATTCTTATACATTCTTGCTCGATAACAATACTAGTGAGCCAGGCTCTGGAGAAGAAGATAACTTCACAGGGCTATGCTTCGAAGAGGAAAACGAAGATTTCAAGCGAATCTTCTTACCCACCATCTTCTCCATCATTTTTTTGACAGGAATTGTTGGCAATGGCTTGGTGATTGTTGTCATGGGTTTCCAGAAGAAACTGAAGAGCATAACTGACAAGTATAGAGTCCATCTCTCAGTAGCTGATCTCCTCTTTGTCATCAGCTTGCCCTTCTGGTCTGTGGATGCTGTGATAAGCTGGTACTTTGGTGAAGTCTTGTGTAAAATTGTGCACATCATTTACACTGTCAATTTATACAGCAGTGTCTTGATCCTGGCCTTCATCAGCTTAGATCGGTACTTGGCAATTGTACATGCTACCAACAGTCAGAGAGCTCGGAAATTGTTGGCCAAAAGGATTGTCTACATTGGTGTTTGGCTGCCAGCTTTGCTGTTGACTATACCTGATATAATGTTTGCTCGTATTACTGAGATTGGTGGAAAATACATGTGCCAGCGATTTTACACTAACCAGTCCTGGCAGATCCCCTTCCAATTCCAGCAAATTTTAGTAGGCCTCGTCTTGCCTGGCCTTATCATACTGACTTGTTACTGCATTATAATTTCTAAGCTGTCAAAATCAAAGGGTTACCAGAAACGTAAAGCTTTGAGGACAACCGTCATCCTGATTGTGGCCTTCTTTGCCTGCTGGCTACCATACTACATTGTTCTCACCATAGACACTTTCATCCTCCTCCGGTACATCAAGAGAGGCTGCAGTTTTGAAATACTGGTGCGTAAGTGGACCACCATTACCGAAAGCCTGGCGTACTTCCACTGTTGTCTGAATCCCATCCTATATGCTTTTCTGGGTGCCAAATTCAAGACATCGGCTCAAAATGCACTCACCTCTGTCAGCAGGGGATCAAGCCTTAAGATCCTGTCCAAAGGCAAGCGTGCGGGACATTCTTCTGTTTCAACAGAATCGGAGTCTTCCAGTTTCCATTCCAGCTAACATAATTTCTTGTTTAATGCCTGTAATGAGGTGGGACCTAACAAACATACAGGCTCTTGTTTGTACATACTGTATAGTCACTCACAAGATTTTGGAGGGGGAAAATAACCCTCCAAGATAATATACAAGTTTATTCCCAATTGGAATATTTTGTTTCCTATTAGTTTTCTGTGGAAATCGATGGACTTATTTATAAAAAAAAATATTAAAACCTTTTACATGTTGATGAGAGTGTGTCTGGGCAGGACCTAAAAAACGTTAGGTGGCAAAGTTGTATTGCTTGTGTGCCTAGTTGTACAGATAATGATTTTAAACACTTATAGATAGTAGCGTTGTTGATGTGCACAAGCTGTTTGTACATAAAAGAATGCTTCCAAGATATTCGTTGAAAGACTGTATAATCATTGTGGACATTTAGGATTTCTTGGCCCAGATTGTGGGAAATGTTTTATTTTATACTACTTCAGTGGTAGGCAGTGGATATAATCCCCATCTTTCCAGAGGAAACATCAAAATACATGGATTTGAATGCGGCTGGGTTGCCTCCAGTGGCACTTAACCACCAAAATACCTTCAGGCAGGTGCCTTTTGGCAATAAAGTAATTTTGCTGATCGCTGCCATTATAAAGTTGCCAATAAAAAATGTGAAGAAAATTCTGAACGCGTTATTGTGAGTTTTATGCTCTTGTCGTTTGCCTACTTTCGATTCTACTTTTCTCCATTTTTGAATTTATAGAGAAGAATGGATAGGTTATTATGCAGTCCAGATAGAGGATTCTTTGATCTGTAGTGCACATCGGTGTTTCCTTATATGTTTCATGGACCAAACCAAGATTTCAGTAAACTTTGTGCAAATCGCTGTGTTTTCCTTCACGTAGATAGGATTCATCTGCAAAAGTACTTCTGTAGCTGAAACAAAGGTCCAGCCCTAGAAAGAATCCAACATAACATACATCCATGCCCTTGTCAGAGCTAAAGCAATGTGGTTTGCCTTGAAAGAATAAATTATCAAGCCTTTTGATAAAATAGATGGCTCAATACGATGACATGTTTCTGTGTCTTTGAAGTGGATTATGACCCTTGCTCTTCCTGAAGTCCACCCTTTTTTGCATGAGCTTTTATTAAAAACAAAACATGTATGCGTACATGTGTCTTATGTGTGTTTTTCCTAGGGTGATGGGAACCTTGTACACACTTGAAGTAGGAAACACCAGCACCATCACATTCCTCCTTTGCCTTGTTCTTAGCTGTACATTGTTTTTTCCCCCACCCTCACACCCTTGCATACACAACCTTGTCCCCCTAATTTAAATTTATTCAGGTAGTCCTGTATCAGGGTCTGGCATGTTTCTGCAGCTAGGAAGGATATCACCTAAGGAATTAATTCATTGCACTTCATTAGTACTGGAACATAACACTGTAACCCTTGATAGTAGTCTGCCTTTTATTCAGTAGTGGGATCCTGCCGGTTTAACAACCAGTTTGGTGAACTTGCCTTCCGCGTTACTGCTGGGGAGTAACACAGCTGAGGCGGGGCAATCCGCTCTGCCGGGCGAATCAGCTGAGAAGATATAGGTCAGTAAAGCGCAGGGACGGGCAGGTGGGCCCACCTGATCGTCGGAGCAAACCGGTTCGCTCCCAGCTGATAGTCGGAGCTACCGGTTCGCCTGAACCAGTCTGAACCGGTAGAATCCCACCCCTGCTTTTATTCCACCTCTGAAAGAAAGGAATGTGTGGAGCAAGCCTTAGTTTAAAGGGAGAAAGCCCCTTAGTTTATTCTTTGATCATGTTGCAGTTATGAGACTTCCAATGTCCTTGGGCAAGCATTTTGGTAAGAAGACTCTTCAACTGTCAAGTGCAACAAGAATCCAAAAAAAACAAAGTAGGATCCCTTGGAAAAGAAACAACTGTGTTTTGCCTTCTTGTGTTCTTAGAGCAAGCTGAATGAAGGCTATGGTAAAAATAAGTGCTTCATAGATACATTTATGGGATTCATTACCACAATAAAGGTTTGAATAAATCTGAGATAGGTAAGATCTCTGCAGAGGTGATAGTTCTGTGATAGGAGTGGCCGTTATCAAAATAGAGTATCCAACAATGCTCCATGAAACCATTATAAAAACTTGCTGGACAATGAAGCAAAATGTTAAACTAAGAAATGCTTAATCCATTCCAACAGGGTTGTTTGTTTGTTTGTTTGTTTGTTTCTTTTGTGCCTTTAAGTTAGTGGTTGACACCTGGTGATCGTCTAAACCCAGTCTCTGCAGTTTTCTTGGCAAGGTTTTTCAGAAGTGGTTTGGCATTGCTTCCTTCCTCGGGCTGAGAGAAAATGACTGGCCCCAGGTCACTCTGCTGGATTTGTGCCAAAGGTGGAAGTGGCTCACCATCTCATAGTTTTCAGTATGATGCCATCACCACTAAACCAAGCTGGCTCTTTGCTATGACTTCCACATCCCAGGGTAAGGTTAGGTCAAGGTCCACTTAGTAAATTATGACAAAATGAACTGAAATATAATTTGGTGTAGGGGTAAAGGCATCAGGCTAAAAACTAGGAGACTATGAGTTCTAATCCCACTTTAGGTGCAAAGCCAGCTGGTGACCTTGGACCAGTGGTTTTTAGCCCTAGGAAGGAGGCAATGATATGAAAATTCTTGCCAGGAAACATCCAGGTAGTCTCTGAGAAACAAACATGACTGAATGGAAGAAAAAAACATAGCAAATTATCTAGCAGTAATTAAACGTCTGGTCATCATCTAGCTCCGTGATAGAAAACCTATGGCATGCATGCTGGAAGTGGCATCCAGAGCCATCTCTGTTACAACAATTAATCAGTGGGACAACTTGCCTCCAGAAATTGTAAATGTTCCAACACCTGAAGTTTTTAAGAAGATATTGGATAAACATTTGTATGAAGTGGTGTAGGGTTTCCTGCCTACGCAGGGGGTTGGACTAGAAGACCTCCAAGATGTCTTCCAACTGTTATTCTGTTATTCTCTGGGCATGCGAGCCGTCGCCCGTTGCTCTTCCGGGTTCCGGTGTGCCCACTAGCTGGTCTTCACACACGCGGGAGCGCCAGAAATCAGAAGAGCTCTCTTCCGGTTTCTGGCGCACCCATGCACACCGATGACCTGGTGTTCCAGTTTCTGGCATGCATGCATGCATGCATGAAGACCAGCTGGCCGATGCACATATACACACCAGAAACCAGAAGATCATCTTCCCAGCACACTCAAGCACACCAAAGAAACCGGCTGTTCTTCCGGTTTCCGGCACGCGCATGTGCATCAGCCAGCTGGTCTTCACACATGCATGCGCACCAGAAACCAGAAGACCAGGTGGCCGGTGCACATGCACACGCCAGGAACCAGAAGAGCAGCTGCATGTGCACCGGCCACCTGGTCTTCAGGTTTCCGGCACGTGCGCACTCCCGTTTCGGTACTTGGTGCCGAAAAGATTCACCAACACTGACCTAGCTCATCTGGAAACCAAAATTAATAGAGAATTGCTATAAATTCTAGTCCCCCTGTATTCTGCATTCAGTGAAACCTACTCATCCAACTGGATATAGGATTCTCAGCCTATACTCAGGTGACACTATAGAACTAATCAGTTCTTCAGCCTAACTTATCTCACAGGTGATAGGCTGCAAATGTCTTTCTGAACTTCCTTGGGAAAAAAAGCAGGATAGAAATGTAATAAAGTAATCACTGACTTGGGGTATTCATGAACCATCTGAAAGTAAATTTGTTTCAGAATAATGCTCTCATTTTTGTGTAATAGAACCATTCTTTTTTCATGAGGAAAATCATTTTCCTCCTGATAACACAATTTAAGCATCTAAAAAGGCTTGGCTTTCATAGCCACTCTTGCATCTTAGAACTAATTCAAATCAGCGATAGCATCTTGGAAGAAAAAAAAAATCTAAACTTTATCTAAACCAGCACTGAGATGTTTTATTGTTACCCATTTTATGGTAAGATCAGCTTGTGGTTCTGTTTGCATTAATTCCGATATGAGCAGTTCAAATTAAATCATAGACCCATTTCTAAAATTAGATTGTAACATATTGAAAAAGTTAAGCAAACAACTAAAGGATCCTTCCATTAGATCAGAGTAACGAAGTTTAAGAGGCTACCAATTGTCACATTCATCAGTGAAAGCTGCTTATGATAGTCAGCTGGGAAGCCCCTTCTAAACTGGTGTGGAAACAGCCGTTGAGGCAGAGAAATGAGAGATGGCTGGAGTGCTCCAAAAACAACAACTCTCTCTTGCAAGAGATGTTACACATCCACTCACAGACCCACAAAGGTTTATTGTTTGAGGTAAAAGATAATATTGGTTACACTCCTTCTGTTCCACATACCAAAGCCTAAAGAATAATGGCTGAATGTTACAGTCCTCGCTTAATGACTGGTAACTAATTGACCACTTGAAGTTTCGATGAACACCTCACCCCCCCCCAAAAAAAGGTACTCATGATCCAGTTCCCGAGTTCCAATGACAGCGCACATATCCCATGGTCACATGACTTGCACTTTGGCCACTTGGGAACCGGCTCACCATTACAGTGGGTTGCACTGTTCCATGGTCACGTGACATGATTTATGATGGTTTTTGCCAGAAACCAGCCTTTTTGGCATAGAAACACCCATAGGAACCAGAGGTGGGTTTCAGCAGGTTCTGACCAGTTCTGGAGAACCAGTAGCGGAAATTTTGAGTAGTTTGGAGAACCGGTAGTAAAAATTCTGACTGGCCCCACCCCCATCTATTCTCTGCCTCCCAAATCCCAGCTGATCGGGAGGAAATGTGGATTTTGCAGTAACCTTCCCCTGGAGTGGGGTGGGAATGGAGATTTTACAGTATCCTTCCCCTGGAGTGGGGTGGGAATAGAGATTTTACAATATCCTTCCCCTGCCACACCCACCAAGCAATGCCACGCCCACCAAGCCACACCCACAGAACCAGTAAATTTTTGAAACCCACCACTGATAGGAACGCTCTGATTTGCTTAACCACAGCATTCACATAACAACTGCTACATTCACTTAATGACTGCCACAAAAAAGTTGTAAAATCAGTTCGATCACACGGGCACCTCGATTTATGACCATCATGATGTACAACAGGAATTCCAGGCTCTGTTATGGTTGCAAGTCGAGGACTGTAGTTCAACATTGAAACAGATCAGGATTCTCTACAGCATGAGAAAGATTACTGAATAGCTCAAGAGAATTCAAGGTATATATAGCATCTGTTCTCCCAAATCTGTACTTTTCCCTCCAGAATCAGCAGCCACGTCATTCTGCTGAAGAGAAGAAGTTTAAACCGACATATTAGATGAGAACGACTGAATGACAGTAACCAACCTGTTGACAAATATGGCTTTTGTCCTTTCCTAAAGTAAAGAGATGAACTATCTCACTATCACTAAATACAGCATGCTAGCAAGTCAAGGAGACTCCAGTAAAACCCTGGATATGAGAGAGAGCAATGGGTTCAGAAGTGTGTCTGCTAAAATCATTCTCTGGCACCCAACTGTTCAAGCTGCAAAGGAGAAGATACCTTGAATACTAATTAAATTTCGAGAAAACACTATATCTAGGGAACTTGGCTGAGAAAAACTAAATTATAATTTCCAGAACTCAGTAGTTGACATG